AATTATCATTTACAATTTCAAGTTACCCAACATACATGGACTGTACAGAAAATCATTACACATTCTTTGTTATTCTAGTCTATCCCAATTTTATCTGTCCCTGCACATGTCATCTTCAAATAATCTTTAAAGTGGCCAGTTTGGCTAACGGTACGTGGATGAGCTGGTGTTTAGTGTTCATCTGGTGTCTGCTCATTCCTGGGATGATATTCCTTCAGTTAGCATTACTGACCTAAATGGAATTGCAACTGGTTGACCTTGCTGCATAGGGGTTACTCCAAGTTCGGGCTTACTGACAATACACTTGCGGATTAACTGTATTGTTGACGTTTTAGTACCTCAGGACTGACATTATTGTCATTAGTTGTTAAATGGAAGAAAAAGCTGCTGCTTATTCTGTGCTTCACTGCTTATGATAAATAAATAAAATGTTGTTCTTATTTCAGATCTGTTGGTTGCTGCATCGTTACTACAGTTCTCAACTTATCTGGATCAGGATGAAGTCCTTTCACTTTCAGTACATGACCTATGTACTTGGCTTCAATCATCTTCAATTGCATTATTTTCTTGGTTAGCATCTGCTTCATCTGCTGAGCTATCTCTAGTAGCTTCTACTCTGTTAGTAGATTGTAATCATTGTCTATTGTGGTGTCTTCAGTCATATCTCCACATCTGTAGACTAGTAGATCATTCACAGTCACAGTGCCCAGAACATTAATCCTTCATCCCTGGAGACTGCAACATACTTGGAGAGTTAGTGATCCAACATATGCCCAGTTCTTACCATGCAGAATATTAGGCAGTGTGATCCACTCCAGAGCAGTAGGAATGCCAAGTGGCTTGTGGAAACATTGGCATCTCCCAAATGCTGTCCAGATGTAGTCAGAAAACTACTGCTTTGATTCAACTTAATTTGCCAATGTCCATTTTTCATATCAAGGGTCGTAAAGACCCTTACTTTGGCAAGTTGTGACAAAATTTCTTCAGTAGTTGGCACTGAGTAGTGCAATCTCTTCAAAGTTTTATTGAGATCTTTTGGATTTATGTATACTGTAAACTTTCCAGAGTTTTTTTCACTGCTACTTTGCTGTTAATTCAATCTGTAGGACTTTCTTGATTAATCGCTACTTTTCAAGCTCCTTTATCTTGCCTCTTATGCTGGACTTGAGGGCATTTGGAACTCTCCTCAGAAGATGCTAAGTTGGCCTCACATTTTCATCTACTGAGTTTGTGGTAGAGATGCAACAACCCCTTGATATTAACCAAGAAAACATCCAATACCTGTGAAAACATCCATTTTCAGGATCTGTTCAGCAGTCGATGACTTGATCCCCTGCAAGACACTGCAAATCTCTTCTGGTAGGGTTACCAGTCTGAATTTCATACTTATCTCAGATGAAATGAGTGGGTTTTGCTTAGTGTCTACTGTCTACAGATCTTCTTTCTCCCTATTGCATTGGGCTTTCATCTTAATCTGTCCTCTTGGATGAAAGTTCATCCAGCATACAGCCTTAACTCTAACTTCAATGGAATAATTTTGTGTCACTGTCTTGAGCCACTTGGCCTAAGTTCACAAAGCTTGTGATGCTGCATATAGCACCAGGGCTATCTGACACTTCACGTTCTAACAATCCCAGGTCTCTGTGAGATGAGACAACCTGTTCTATGGAATAGAATGATTTATCCAAATCATTCTCAGCATCTCTCCAGTAGCTGTATTCATAGGCTTGCTTTGTTTGTTTTCAGCAAGACACAGTTGTGCCCTCTTATTCAGCTTCTTGAAGTTAGAGTACTTTTTTCCTCACAATAAACATGTTTCTTTTGTGTAATGCTTTTTGCATTATTTACAGCTTATACATAGGCTTTGATCTTTCTGCTGGTTCTTCTGCCAATATGTTTTTCTTTTCTCCATTTTATTGTTCTTATTAGCCTGGACTTTCTCTCAGCATAATGCAAAGCTTATCAGTTCTCCTATTAATACTCCAGCTAATGACTTAACATGTGAAGAAGCTTTGCAATTGTCATAGCTTTCTGGAGAGTATATTTATTTTCTGCCAACTGACATGCTGTCTTGCTCAGGTCTTTTATTCCTAAGACAATCCTATCTCTGATGAAATCATCTTTTGATGCATTCACATACTGATCAATATCGCTGTCTGAGCTCTAAGGGTAAACACATTCTATTCACAAATAACATAAGTAAATAAGACTTCAAAGCCTTCAAAATTTCTCCATTCTGATTTTCTGTCCCTTGGTGAGATCTAGAGTGTAATACAGTTTGCAGTACTCTTTCCCCAACACTGATAACAGACTTGACTAGTTACTCTTATTTGATCAAGTTTTCTCTTTACTCTGTGTCTATCTCATAATTTTACCAAAGAGACTGGAGGAAGTTCCGATTCTGTCAGATTGTCTTTCGAGTAATTGGAAACTTCAAAACCATGCTGACTGTCCCTTCAGAATAAAGTTCAAATTATTCATTGATGTTTCTTGCTGTAGCTGTATCTCGCAACTTTCAAAATCCACTCAATTTCAGCTGCACTCTTCAGGTATCATGTCTGATGTGCTGGCTTCACTAGCTTCTGCCTGCATACCTCTAAACAGAAAGCAACTACATCAGAGGTCACATTATTATAGAAAGTCACACTGTATAAATGCATTTCTCCAAACAGAGGTCGTTTGATGAAACCTCCAGGAATACACCCTACTAGAATTGGCAATCCTTGGTACATGTGATCCAGTATTTAGCAATTCTAGCAACATGGACAATAGAACATCAGCAAATACAAGATCTCTCGTGCATACTGTTCAGAATGATTTGTCAGTTGCGTATCAAGTCTGCTTTATGCCAGATATCAAAATTTCACATTCCTCTGTAAATGTGCACTCACTATTTTTAAAGCTTTTATTGGGACCTATACATTAGTATAACAACAATGGAACATAGTGTTGGAGACGGTGTGTCTAATGTTCAAGTTTTTCTAAATTCTTGTAACAAGTGTTATCTGATTCTGGAGACCTTATCCTAACTTGCATTGTGTTTTTTTTTATATTCCTGTATAGATCATTTCAGGGATGTTGACGAAATGAAGACAGTATGTCAGGAGGTGGGTTCCATCAGTGACACCATCTTTGACATTCGTTTCAATCCAAATGTTTATTCATCAGGTAATGTATAGTACTTTCCTAAAACTGTAATAAGAATTTTTCACCTATCAGGAAGTGAGTTGCAGCTTCCTTTGGATGAAATATTTTTCTTCCTTTCTAATTTTCTATCAATTACTTTAAATCAGCACTACCTGTTTATTGACCTCGTTGCAAAGGGAACTACAGCAAACCTTTTCTACCCACTATACCTAGGCCCTTCATAACTTTATACTCCTTAACTAAACCTCCCATCAGCCTCCTCTGGTCCAGAGAAAACATTCAGAGCCCATTCAATCTTACCCTCACAGTTAAACATCTTCATTTCTAGCAAAATTCTTGTAAATCCCCTCTCTAGCCAATCATATCCTTGCTGTGATGTTTTGCTACCGTTCGGGGATCGGTGAACATGCAATCTGGGATCCTGCACCCTCTGTACTACTCATTATGCTACTAGTTATTTTGTATTCCCTGCTCTTGTTTGATTACATCCTGCCACCCTCCTCACCCCCTTCCATTATCTCACAAGTACTGAATTGTAATTGCCACTTCTCTGCCTGCTCAATCTGCCTGCTCAATTAGCCCATTGATACCTTTTTGTGAGGTTACAGCTTTCTTTCTCACTGTCAACCACAGTCATATTTTGTATCATCTACAAAAATGCTGTATATGTGTCCTACATTTAAATATAAACCTCTCCAATAAATATCATTGAAAAGCAAGGGACTCAGTTCTTAGCCTTGTGGAACCCCATTGGAAACAGTCTTTCAATTGCAAAGCACCGAGAACCCATTACCCTTTGTCTCCTGGAGAGAGAGAAATAGAGTTAATATTTCAAGTCTGAAGAAGACTCGAAAGGTTAATGTTGGTTGTCTCTTCACACATGCAGCCAGACCCACTGAATTGCTCCAGTTTTCTCTGTGTTTGTTTCAAATTTCCAGTATCTGCAGTATTTTGCCTTGCCTTTTATCTCCTACTACTTTCCCTTGGATTCTTTGGACTTTTACTTTTCTGACCAAACAGCCAAATAGGACCATATCAAAATCCTTGCTGAAATCTATGTAACCTACATCAGATATGCCTTGCTCATTGATATCCTTTTTATTTTCTGTAAATGTTTAACTCTGAAATTTGAAATACAATACTGAGGACGTACAGTACTGTCACAGGTGCCATCCTTTGGCTGACAGATTAAGTGATGGTTTCACCTGTGCTGTCAGGTGAATGTAAAAGAACCTTTGGCACTATTTTGAAAAACAACAAGGAATTATTCCCAGTTACCTGGTCTCAATCAATGGCAGGAAAACAGATTATCTAGTCATTGTTAAAATGCTGTTGTGGGAGTTTGCTATACACAAACTGGCTACCACATTTCCTGTATTTACAATAGAGCCTACACTTCAAAAGCACTTCATTAGTGGCAAAGTGCTTTGGAATGCCCTCAGAGTGTGGAAGACTTCTTATACTTGGAGGTCTTTTTCTTTTCTCCCCTCTGTTGTAATTGTTTCCTCAATACTACAACCCTCTTTTCTTCCAAACCTCTTCTCTATCTTGTCTGTAAGGTCTGTAACTGGAAACATTGAGCTGCTATCTGTACTGTCCTTTAAACCTTGTTTGCATGACAACGATATTTCCAACTGTCTGTCTGCATCCTCAGCTCATCTGCAGTATTTATCTTTTGAAGTAAATCTTTTCGAGAACCTCCAAAGTCCTTTTGTTTACTATTTTCTATCCCTAGTTTCCTCTGCATTTCATACTCGCTTACAAATTGCCTGCTTTTCTTGTTGGTATGTTCTGTTCTTGGAATAAACTTATAATTTTATGGTGTAGAGATGTGACTGAATCTTCAAAGGTTTAATGATAATTTAATCAAATTTGACGATAGTATAAGGTAGGGGTGGAGGTTAGATAGGCCTTAGGATTAGGGTAATAGTTCAGCACAACATTGTGGGCCGAAGGGCCTGTACTGTGCTGTACTGTTCTATGTTCTATGTTCTAAGTTTAGATCAAATGTTTAGGCAGATCCTGTTTATGTAGATTCTTGGACCAAACTAAAGCATTAATAGCTGGAAATAGTGTCCTCTCTGGTATTCATGTTCTTATCAGTGAACATAACACTTTTTGCAAACCAGAAGGAATGGGTCCAATTCGAGCCAGTTCCACAATTATATGGGGACAGTGCATAAGTGGTATGTTTGTTGGTAAGCAAAACTCAATTTGTCATTTTAAAAGTTTCAAGAATTCAATAAATCTGGCATTTTGAAAGTTTGCACTTTGAAAGCTGGTGTAATAGATCAATTTGTTATTTTTGGGAAGGACACTTGTGACTCCTTTTGAATCTTATCTCTATGTGACTCTGATCCCACATTATGTAGTTAACATTTAACTCCCCGAAAGGATCTGACAAACTATGTAGTTGTCAGGGGAGTACAATGAAAGATGGGCAATGCACGTGGTTTGCTGGTATCTTTCACATGAGGAATAAATGAAAAATACAATTAGATTAAATTGACATATTTCTAAGGAAATGGTAAAATTTGATGAGATACCTTGCATAATGTTGATGGCTCAATTGATTAACGTGCACCCTCCTGAGCTATTGTAGAGTGTCAGGTTTCACCAAGACCTTGCATTTAAGTAAAGCTTTTCATGTACAGTACTATCTTAAAATACTTCATAGAGGCAAAGATATTGTTTCTGATCAAAAGAAGCAATGTTACAAGGTGTGACCAGAAACTTAATCAAAGACGGTCCTAAATGAGAAGAGAAAAAAGATAGTAGGGAGGGATTTGAGACTGGGGCTGTTGAAGGCATGGACAGCAACTGTAGTCTGATAGGAGATATAATGTTTAAGTGGTCCGAGGAAGGGAATGAGTGTGTAGAGCTGGAAAAAAAATTAGGGATGTTTGAAAAATATAAGCATGGTTTCAAAGACGAGGCTTGATGGAACTTGATGTTGGATAGAGTAGGAGCAATGAGATTTGTGCAAACCAAAGTATGAGCATAGCTGACATTGGATAAGATTTTCAACGGGGTCATGAAGAATGCAGTATTCCTGCAGAGATTGAAGAATGCAGTTTTTATGATGGAGTGAAATGGAACCAGAAGCTCAGAATCAAATAGAACCCCAGTGTGACTCAGTCTGTGTTGCAGTTATTACAGGCAGGCTAGGAACCGTAACCTTTCTCTTCAACATTTAACTGAATAAAGGAACGTCTGATCCAAACAATCTGACAACAGAGAGGTAGTAGAGGGCTTAAGAGAAGTGATGGAGCTCAGTGGTGTAAACAACCATGTGATTGCTAGTCTCATGTCTGCAGACAATGTTCTCATTGGATAGCAAGTAGATTAGCTAGACTAGAATTCAAATTTTAATTTTTTTCCACATAGCTCAAGATCAAATTGGTCTGTACTTTTCCACTAAGCAATTAGGGAAACCCAGTAAACCTTGTGCACAACCTTGTCACTCCTGTATATGTTAAAATATACCATTTATTATAAAGAGCAAGTGACATGCTAACATCCTTGGAGCCATCAAGCACAATATTCTGCCAAAATAGTTTGTCCACTTCATGATGTCTGAGCTTTCAAGAAGTGGTTGATAAATATTACTTGGTTCTATTTTATTCATTTCATGAAATGTGATATTACTGTGTTTGCACAGACAGACGTAGATGTCAGTTTGTAAAAGATGCTTTTTTATTTGGGAAATGGGTGGTAGAGACATTTCTTCCTCTTATCTTGAATCTTAAGGACTGTTTGACTTTCTTCCATTCCAATGTTGGTCCTGAAGTGACTATATAGTGCAATACGGGATTCGCAAACACAACCACTGTGCCATTTACCTTCAAAGCAATTGATATTATCACTGACATTCCTATCTTCTCAAATGCAAATAGATTGAAGGAAGTGCAATATTTGGCATTAACGTTGCAAGGTATAACTCATCATTGGCACCATTACAGAACTCCCTGGCAATTTGCATTAAATTGGTTTACCATTCAATCGTATGATCCATGATCATAAATAGATAATTTGGCTCGTCATAAATGCACTGTAGATAGTTGACTTATTGTGAATGCATTGCAAATAATTGAGTATATTGCACATTGTATGCTTGGAGTTGGGTTTTAATCACTTGGTGTATTGTATAGCACCTTCTCTGCCAAGATGCAGTGGTCTGTTTGTAAATCAGAATTGAATTTTTGTTGCAGTTGTAAGATTTCATGAATCTGAACAAGAGGCTCTGCAACTTCAGAAGCGATTGATGAAGGAAATTGCAGCTTTCCTTTTGACTGTACAAATTCCCAGTTTTGTAAGTGACTTCTATGATAAAAGGCAAATATCAATTTACAGGAATTAGATTTGAGATGTGTATATAATAACATCATAACAGACATATAAAAACAATAAGGCTATATGTTTTAAGAGTGTGAAAGGTTGTGGGAAATTTACTTTAAATGTTTGGAGTTGTGGAAGGGTCAATGACAGAAATTCTATCGACTGGTGATTTGGTCACCAGGATCACACACACGTTAATAGCAGAGGGAGAAGTTAAAAGGAATGCTGTCTTGTAAAATTATATTATGGCATGGAATGTCTTATCACAAATAGCTACTGAACTGATTCAAAGAAGATGATTAAGGAAGAATTGGATAAACACTTAAAGAAACATTAGTATTATGGGGAAAGCAAGGAAATGGAATTCGAATAGATATTTCTGATTGCAAACCTCAGGCCTCTCAAATATGGAAACAAATGAGCACTTTTGGATGGAATGTTTTCACAGCTGTTGTTTGTCATTAACTAGTTATGGAGGAGGTATTATGGAGGAGGCATGGCTGTTGGAAGAAAATATCTATTAAATGGTGGCTGGCATAAAGTCTGAACTTCCTTTCCATCTTATTTTTCTGTTTTTCAGATCAAAGACTGTGTGAATCATGTCACTGTGCCTATTGATGGTAGAACATTGACAGATGGCTTGCACAAATGTGGAATTAATATTCGATACATTGGTAAAATAGCACAGCTGATAAGCCAGTCAGAAGACAAACAATATCTGGAACATATCTCTGTATGTATTCAGCTAAGGGAGAGATTGTGATGTGGAGGGGGACTGATCACCAAACTGTATACATATGTATTGCCTTTAAGAAGTCCTCATGCTTATTTGATAGTCTCTGAATTTGCACTTGATGGGCTGGCCCAATGGCTCAATTCATAATATTATTGCTTAGTATGGAACTGAGCCATAGAAACAAAGGAATTCCAGCTTTGATCCATGGCCTGTGCTCATAAGTGAGCTGATCTCAACTGGCAGTAAATCAGCCTCTGTATACCTGTGAAAGTATGTGTGTAGATTTACCGGGTTAAGCTATGATACAACCCTATATGATAATAAATGTGAGAAAAGCCACTGGGGCACAGCATGAAAGGGTGGCTGGTGCTTGTTGAAACTGTGAGCTAAGAATTTCCCTTTATTGGCAAGTGCTGCCACCCAGGCCAAAAGCAGGAGATGTCCGCCTGCCCTGCCAACTTCAGTGGGAGGTGGAACCAAGGGCAGCTTATTGCTAGTTGCTGTCAATTAAGTGGCTATCCCCTGAGCCACTGTTCAGTTCAGAATGGCAGGCTGCCTCAAGAGCTACCATTTAGCAGCACCCCTATTGATGGTTATCATTGCAGATGCTGCAGGGTCCAGGTGGAGGACACTTTCAATGATAAGATACTCTTGAGGATCTAGTAGGTCTTCAGAGGAAATGTGGGCCTAGCAAATATGCAGTAGCAATAGAGGGTGATACGGGGAGGTGTGCTCGGACAGCATCAATGAAAAACTTGATGTAAAGGTGGTCACTGCTATTAGGGAGGCTCTTCCATGCACTCTGAAATGCCCAGGTTTCACCCAGTATCCTTTGGAGGCAGGGACTGGCTTTCCTGGCAGGGGCAAAATGTTCATGGAGGTGGGCAGCAGCCTGTATTCAATCATTTAGTTGGCTTAGCTAGGTAGATAGCTGAGCCTCCAAGCCTCTGTACCCCTGTGCACATCAGCTTCCATCAGTTTGCCAGTCCTCTAACTGCCAATGTGTTAGGAAAGCCCAAACCTATATAACTCCAGCACAAGTCATCACAGTTAGAAGTGGAGAGAAACAAAATCAGAAACAGTGGAACTTACGGGTTATGAATTTATACACATAAAGATGTAGAGTGGATGCATGATAGATTTCTTTGTGGGAAGCATATAATCTGTTGAACAAGTAACTATCCACCGGCTTGTGGTCTTTGTAATTAGTATGCAGTGGTATAATTCAATGGTATCAGCCTTTTTAATGTGATGGTGTATAGGACCCAGGACTGGGTGGTACATCAGGGCTCAAACTGAAGCCCAGCACTCTCAGGGACCCACTGTGCTGGAATTGAAGGCAGGCGTCCTGTGCTCAGGGCCAGGGTCAGGGCAAGAAACAACACTGAAGCCCATGATTTCTGCCTCCGTTCCTGATATTTTACTTAGAAGATGCTTCCTCTATGTGGGGGCTTAAAACTAATGGACGTAGTTTGAGAGTAAGACATTTCCCCTTTTTAAGAAGGTATTTTTGTTTTATTTCTCTCAGAGCATCATTCTCTTTGACAGACGATAGTAGAGGCTGGCTGAGTTGGGTAGAAAAGGGACTCGAGTTCTGGGGGGAAGCTGGAGACCCTAACCAGATTAGCCATGATCTCATTGAATGGTGAAGCAGGCTCGAAGGGTCAAATGGCTTTCTCTTCCGATTTTGTTCAATGAACAATAAACTTGTGCATCTATTTGGGATTTAAACATGTCCCTCAAAAAAGTCACCAGGATTGATACCTGAAATAACATCTATGATCAGGTTTAACACCATAGTTGAATTTGTTGTAATTCTGGACCTTCAATAGCTGGTCACCATCTAAGATTAAATGTTTGTATTTCTTACAGAGACTGTTAATCAGCGAAATCATCACTCGGGCAGCAAAGCACATTATAGTCCTCTACCTGCAGGTAATCTTATTATTTATAGAATACGGCAATTTGCTATGGCTTGGAGGGAGAGTGAGTGTAACACATTCTTCATATGCTTCCCAAAAGAACAGGAAAGCCCATGGCTCAATTCATCTTCTGTGCGGTGTTAGCTGGTCTCAGTCAGTCAGTTCAGCAGCAGTGTTAAAATTGGCTTTGGTGTCTGTTGAATTAGTGAGAGGGAAAGTAGCCATCATCATTCCTCCTTGTTGCTATCCATTAATAAATACTGCATGTGTGGGGAAAGAATCAGGCACTGCTTAGTGGCCTTCACAAAACTTGAACTGTTTTCTGAACATGTGGCATCATCTTCAGAGAGGAAACAGGAAAATTCAAGGCAACTAAAACAAATGTAAGAGAGTATCATGCATTTGGCTGCTTTTGAGGAGATAGCCAGGTTCTTCTCTCAACCTATTTCCTGACTCTGCATGTTGCTGGCTAATATTTCGTTGGCTGTGTAATTACATCTGTGCTCAGGTGAAATGTGGGGCTTAGATTTCAGTCCTATATTTCCTCTGTTGCACTGGGAAAATATTTGCAGTAAATTATTGAGCTGATTTGTAGCTCCCAGAAGCTAGTGTGTTTTTGCTTATGTCAAGGTTAGTCAGAAAGTTATCCTGCCCATTTCTAGTTATAACAGATTGGATTGGGTTGGGGGTAAGCGGGTGGTGGGGGTGTGAAGGTGGTGGAGGCTGGGCAGGTAGTGCGAGCAGCGAATCCATTCACAGGACATGAGTTAGTCACTTAAAATTTTTAATGGGGCTGTCTGCCTTCATTTTGAGTCATTCTATCCCTAACCTCAGGCGACTAAGTGTCCCAAGCTTTGGGGAAACTTGATAGCTGGAAGAAGGTGAGATGGGTAAATCCGGGAAATGAGTGCCTTTACAACACTGCTCCTGAACTCATAGGATTCCCTTTGGGTTTACAAACTAGCCAGTGAACCTCCCAACCTAGGTCATCTGTCTGCAAGCCACTGCACCGTCGGACAACAGATATCTCCCCTCATCCCCGCTTTACTATTTCTTGTCCTGCTTGTGATGGGAACTGCACTGAAAACAATTCAAAGAAACTCTTATGGCTAACTTTTGTGGGACATACATAATAAAATCTGTTCTTTTGGGATTCCCCCTTACAATAGCCCTGCCTCTACAGAATGTGGCTGACATTCAAATGTAAATCATGTTTTCAATGTCTGCTATCAGGGTCCTCTATCAACAGATGCTTTAAAAATGTTGGTTCTAGAACTGGTGGTGGGAGGCAGATGGAATAGATATTTGTGAATCAGAAAAATAACATTTCACTAAAATGCTCTTGAGAAGCATCAATACCATTATTGAAAGATCAATGCAGTAACCCAGAATGGTGTGCCACGGATTGAGACCACTGGATTCGAAGTTTCAGCCATATCACATTGGGGCAACACTTCACCAAAGGGACAGTCACCTCCTGGTGTAGTCAATCTCTCAACAATTCAACCTGGCAGGTTAGGCATCCCTTCACCTCCTCATGTAAGTCTGGTTGGTGACCCAAGGAATTGAAAAGAAAGTAGGGATAGCCATAGAAAGGAAGGCAACAATATAAAAGTGTGAGGTGCTTTATTTGACTGGTTTCTGGAAGCTGGTAGGATTGTGTGACTTATAGCTCAAAGTTTTGTACAGTTTGTGTCATGTTTTTCCTCCTCTCACTAATGCACACTAGCTTTTATGGACCAATGGGCTTAATCCCAGCCATATTACTCATTGGTGTGATCACTTTGAGGAGCTTATTTGAAAAGAAGAAAGGATGTTAAGAAAGAATACAATGTTAAGATGTAGTTATATAAAGGGATACATCTTGCTTTGTAACTTTCAAGGGGTCTTCAGCTCTGATTTATTTTTATGCAGTTCATATTTCTATTTTTTATTCTTATTTTTATTTTTTCTCCCAGGTTGTGGAGATATCAGCATGCTCATCTGCCATCAGTCACTTTCTGAACTGCTTTCTGAGCTCCTACCCTAATCCTGTTGCACACCTGCTTCCAGATGAACTTGTGTCACGCAGGAAAAAGAATAAGCGAAAGATGCGGATTCCTGGAAATGACACAGCATGGGCTAATCTGACTCCTACTGAGCTGTGGAAACAGATTAACAATGAAGCTAATGAAAGCTTTGGCTATGCCTTGGCTTGGTAGGTAACTGCACTGGTGTTTAGCATATTTGAACATTTATTTCTCAGTCCCTTTCTGCACCATCCATTGTTAGCGGTGAAGAAATTCCTGCTGTAACTTATTTATAACCTTGTCTCATATGATACTTTAATATGTGGAGTGCAATTGCTTTTGCTTCGCATCAGGGAAGTCTACTTGGTCACTCTGGGGGCCACAGGCAGAGAATGTAGGGCAACATGTATCCTGAAGGTTTTCTGAAGAATGAGAGCCAAGCTATATGATCATGAGCATCTTGCTATTCCCTGGTTTTGAAGATGTGCTGGTTCTTAACTTCAGAGTGGGTGGATAAATATTCCTTTGGTTTGAGGTAGATCAGTAATACAAACATCTCTTTTACCTGTAGGACACTTGAACGTGATTTCCGAGGATGAGGGGTCCTGGAGTACTTCCATTCATTGTGGCAAATATTCTTGAGCCCAGTGAGAGAGGAGACATTGCTAGGTCTGGTACTGGGGATTTAGGTGGAACAAGTATCTACTGGGGAATTGAGGGAACAGTGATCATAGTATCATATCTTGGGAAAAGACAGATCAAGGGAAAAGCACTAAATTTGGGGAGAAGTAATCTCATTGGGATGAGAACAGATATATCGCAGGTAAATTGGAATTGAAGATTGACAAGCTGTTAACAGAACAATGGTCTGCCTTTTTTAAAAGAAAGAGAGAGTTTGGGGACAACTGGTTACATTCCCCTGATGGATAAGCAAAGGTGACAAAGCCAAAGCTCTCTGGATGATGAAAGAAATCAAAAGCCTAATACAAACAGAAAAAGGGAGCACAGCACAGATGTCAGATTGGTTTGATGTGAAAACATATTACTAGAGGCAAAGAGAAGATAAGAAAAAAGATTGTCAGCTAACATAGTAGGGAATCCAAAGAGTCTCTGAAAATTATATAAATTATTAAAGAAAGTGAGTCAGAAGAGGGTGGTGATCAAAATGGAGAGAGGGAACATGGCTGAATTGAGTACTTTGCATTGGTCATTACCATGAAGGAAGATGCTGCCAAAGTTTTAGTGACAGAGAAGTAGTTGAGATACTTGGTGGGCTAACATTGATGAACAAGAAATATTTAGATGGATGGATGTATTTAAAGTTGGGAGTCACAAGAAACAATTGGGATGCACCTAAGGATGCTTAGAGAAATAAGGGTGGAGGTTGAAGAGGTACTGTTCATAAGCCTCTAGCCCTCCTCAGATATGTGTTTCCCCATATGTAAGGATAATCTCAGCAACTACAGGCCAGTCAATTTAACCTTGTTGGCAGGAAAACTTTTAAAGATGAAATTATTTTAATCAATTTGTTCAGAGAGGCTCTGACACTCCCCTGGAGCAGGTGTGACTTGAACCTGTGTCTCCTTGCTCTGCGGTACCACTGTGGGTGGATCAATTCCACTGTGCCACAAGAGCCCTAGCTTTTAGAAATGATAATCATAGAAAAAATTAAAATCACTTGGACAAGTGCAGATTAATTAAGGAAAATCAACACATTGGTTAAAGGCAAATTTTATTTTAGTAATTTGATTGAGTTTTATGATGAGTTAAAAGAGATGAAGATAGGGTGAAGTGATTGTGGTATAAATGGAAATCAAAAAGGCATTTGCTAAAGTACCACAAAATAGACTTGTTGACAGAACCCTCCAGGTTCACTTCCTTACTATTAGCTGATGTTTATGTGATTGTTATGTTCCAGTGACGGGATTGATCAGGTGGTGGAACGGTTTGGTTTGCAGAAGGTATCCCTGCTGCGTGAGTTCTGCATAAAAGCTGGAATTCAGGTACTGCCAATCCTGCTACTATAAGTGTGAAGCATTTATGTGACCTGTCATTGTATATGTCTTCTCCATTTGTATGAAACACTCAATATTGTGCTATAAGTTCATCACACACTATTTCAGTAAATATTGATGAGGTTGCTGAGCAAAACATGAGAAAAGATAGAAATGGATAATACTTTGAGGACTAAATTCTGATTGGCTTAAATGCACCATGCTGTTACAGGATTGAGCCAGGGAAAGTCAGAGAAGTCTTAGGTTTGGTGTCTGATTTGTGTCGTTTTAGCCGAATAAATAAATTCCTGCATTTATATAGCAGCTAATGACCTCAGGACAGCCCAAATCGTTTAACAGCCAATAAAATATTTTGAAATGTAGTCACTGTTATGATATAGAAACTGTAGCAGCCCTTTTGAACACATTAATGTCTAACAGCACTGTGATCATGTATTTTAGTGATGTTGATTTGAGGGATCAATATTGACTATAATGTCAGTAATCATGCTCCTGCTCTTCTTTGAAACAGTGTCTTAGCATCTTTTATGTGAGATAAATCTTTGATTTACTATTAATTTCAAAAAGAACAGCACTTCAACAAAGGAGCAATCCCTCAGTACTACACTGGAGTGTTGGCCTGTGTTCTTATATTCAATGTACAACCTTCTACTCAGGGGTGAGATTGCTTCCATTAGAGTCATGGCTGATCCTATCATTGGAATTCATGGCAATGCTAAATGAAGAGATTAGGGAGGAAAAGAATTAGCCTGTTCCCACTTCTGTTCATTGCACATTGTGTTTTGTGTCTGTGTCCTTACACAGATACTGATTGAGAATAAGACTGTAGGAACACTCATCTGTCATTTTCTTTCAACTCTGCTGTCTGGGCTTATGCACTGAGAATGCCCCCCTGGCATGACAGCCATCTGCTGTTGCTGCTTGTGAAAGCATTGTAATCTCCTCTTCCTCTGCATACAGCACATGGATTAAGCCTCCTTATGCTTAATGAATACAAGTTACACTCCTCATGGGAGACATAAAGGGAGAGCAATATGAGGCGAGAAAACAAATAAGGTGTACTCACATGGAGATATTTAGTTAGTTGGATTCCAGTTTACTTATGTACAATTAAAGCCTGCTTACATGATCTAAAATTTCTTAGTTGCAGCTAGAAATATTTTCGGAATCTCAAAATTTGTCATATGCCTGGATTTGATTAGAAGGCAATGGTATGCAAGAGTCCCAGCTCTGATTTTTTTTAGAAAAGACTTTTACTTACATAGTGTCTTTAACATACCAAACTACTCCAAAGGACTTCACAGGAGTATGATCAAAGTTTCACTGACTGTAAATGACACACACCTGTGCTTCACTTAATGGAATAAGACTGTAAGAGATAAGAGCAGAATCACGTCATTCACCCCAGCAAATCGGCTCCACCATTCAATCATGGCTGATATGCTACTCATCCCCAATCTCTTGCCTTCACCCCATAACTCTTGACCCTTACTAATCAAGAAACTTGTTTATCTCTATCTTACACGGAGACTTGGCATCCACAGGACTCTGTGGCAATGAGTTCCATAGATTAACCACCCTCTAGCTGAAAAAAATGTTTCCTCATCTCAGTTCTAAAGGGTTGTTTCTACACGCTGAGTCTCTCTTATTATTAGAAACACTTTCTTCATCTCTATTCAGGGCAGCATGGTTGTTCAGTGGCTAGCATTGCTGCCTCACAGCGCCAGGGACCTGGGTTCAATTCCACCCTCAAGTCACTATGAGTGTGGAGTTTGCACATTCTCCCTGTGTGGGTTTCATCTGGGTACTCCAGTTTCCTCCCATAGTCGAAAGATGTGCAGGTTAGGTAAGTTGGCCTTGCTAAATTACCAATGATGTCCAGGGTGTGCAGGTTAGGTGGATTAGTCATGGGAAGTCATGGGTTACAGGTCTGGGGTGGGTCTGAGTGGGATGCTTTTTGGAGGATCAGTGTGGACATGATGGCCAAATGGCCTGCTTCCATGCTATAGGGATTCTATGACTCTATCCAGGCCTTTTAGTATTCTCTATTCGTCCCAGCACTTACTCAGTAAGTAATTAAGCTCTGTTTTCAGTTAAATATTTCTTGCCTCTCAGATATTGTTCATGGAATTTTACACAATTGATTCTAAATGAGTGATTTCAGAGACTGCAAAAAACAGACAGTTAGCACCACATGAGTCAGGAAGCTGTCTGCTGTTTGAGGAGAGATTGGGAAGATCTCAAACTGAGCGTAAAGGTCATCATTTCAAAAGTTAACAAATGTTAGTCAGGGTAGAGATGGACGAGACAATTGGCCTCAGTGCTTCTGACTTGAGAACAGGGCAAAAAAACTAAATGGCTACTTCTGATCCCTACCAACTATTTAAATTAAAAATACATTTGTGTGAATTTTGGTAAAAATGAATGTTGTCTAGCTGTCACATTCCCATTGCATGAATGACATGCTGACATTTAGGTCTTGGCATACAGTTTAAATTACTTATTCTAGCATTCAAGAGCTGCTGGCTCCTGTGAAATCTCATCCCTCTTAGAGTCAGTGGAATAGAAACTAGTCACCATTATACACATCTTCCAGATGCAAAAAATAATTACAGCTGTTAGGATGACTTTCAGTCAAACAGGCAAAGAGGAATATGCTGTCTAACTGGGCTAATTCTATGCAGGCTCCACACTTTTTTTCCAGACTTGAGTGTGGTCTAGCAAGGGAATGCCCATAGGAAGGTGGGTTTCATTTTTTAAAAAATTACTTGCGGGCCTTAGGGTGGAACAAATTCCTCCAATTCCATCAGTTTTCTAAGGTGGACACTGCAGGCAGGCTCTTCAAAAACTCTGCTGCAGTTGCAATTTTTAGTTTTTCTGCAAGGTTTCCTCCACTGAAGACACATTCCTCTTACAGTTTCATATCACATTACCAGTCACTTTGTGATACCTCATTCAATTCTGTTGTTCTTCTGTATCTTGACAGTGAGGATGAACATGGCTTTGATAGGTCACGTTAATTCTGATCCTGTCCTTGAAATTCACAAACATGTGTTTTCCAGTAAAAATCTTTAGACCGTGATCAGAAACAATATTTAATTTCTTCCCACTGCCGCCCTCCCCCCAAGAGCATTTATGTCAACTCACTTAGTTGAAATTAATTACTTAACATAAATAAATGATCACGTGGAAGAGGCAGAATACAGGTGGTGAGTTATCTGAGGAACCAGATTTGTTGCACAATGTTCATTATAACTTGAATCTTTCTCTCAGATTCTTCTGCGAGAATATAACTTTGACAGTCGTCACAAGCCCACCTTCACTGAGGACGACATTCTCAACTCCTTCCCTGTGATCAAGCATATCATTGTGAAGGCAACAGATGCTAATCAAGTTTATAAGAATGCACAAACAACAATTCAGAAAGGTATCTTATGCTAAAGAGATGGTGGCTGTGTTCGGCTAAAACATTGATAAGAGTGACACCAATGAGCTCAAAAAACAAGTACTTGGCATTTCTTTCATATAAAATTTGATAAGGGGAACTAAATCTCAGGGAACGTGCATTCAGGCCCTAAATTGCTCAGTATAGTGACGTTCCATTTTTATTCAATGAACAGGTGGGAAGACTCTGCAGCTGAGATTTTAGGCATATGTTTAAAAGAGAGGGAGCCTTGCCCTACATCTAATTTGTGATGAGCCCTGAGAATGCAGCTTTCCCAATATGTCACCATGAATTATAACCCAGTTTCACAGGCCAACTCGGACACCTGTCTAGTGCTGATTGTACGTGAATAGAGCACTATTCTTAAAAGTCAGTGACTACAACATGGATTTTGAAAGGAAGGCAAAACGAGTAGAAAAGATACTCAAAGGAAAAGAAAATACCAGAGGATTAGAGGGAAAAAGTAATGTATAATTTGATGATGACAGGCTCACCGTTGTATAGGGAATATGGTGACAAGGTGAATAGATTGGATTGATGTCAGTAAAAAAGGCACTGGTTTCAAAAGCCCGATAGCTTTCTCCAGTTCAAACTTCTCGTCCAATTGAAAGAGATCACACTTACATCTTCCCCTCTCGTCTTTGTTATTACCGTTTGACTTTTGCAATGCTCCTCCTCCTCCTGTGCAATCAGGAGAAACTAGGAGCCTGCCTGGAGGGATTTATGGATATACGCTCACATTTGAACTTTGTAAGTCACAATAAATTACAGCTTTGTGTCAAGTATGTGCCTGGGGGTTGTACAAGATGAATGTGACCCATCACCTAATTTCCTTATCAACTTTTTTTATAAAGACACCTATTTTGGATGAACTTTAGTTCTTGGATACTTGGTAGTCTTTGCCCAAGGAATCATTAATGTCCAAAATTGATGATGAGCAGAAAAAGAAGTGAATTTTTATTCCCCTGCATCAAATCTTCCTTCATGTATAGCTTTGACTGTTAATGTTATGTTCCTAGGAAACATTAAGGAAGGCCTTGAGTTGCTCACTGAATCTTTAAACCTATTCAACAATGTGTATGGAGCCTTGCACCCTGACATCTGTGGTTGTTTAAGTCTTCTGGCACGGGTCAGTTATATCATGGATAACATCCCTGAGGTGAGCAATAATTCCAGTTTTGGGGAGCTTGATAAATGTGTCTGTGAGAGCTGGAAAACATCATTGCACACCATTAGGATATGATATTAGGATATTTTCAGATTCCAATTTCACCAGGTCCACGGATAGCTTTTAACAGCAAGGGAATCTGAACGTGAAATTCACAAGGAGTCTTAAGTTATAATCTCTATCTACTGCCTCATTCCTGCAAGTCGTGCTCAATCTGCAATATAACACTTTTCCACTGTACACCTGACCATCCTAAGTCTGGACATTACACATTTCAAGTCACTTATGGGGAAATAAACAAATTGGAGCCCTTTTGCTGCTATATTGTTTGCCTGTCATTGATATATTTTTCACTAGCCTCTCATCATTAGTATTCAAAGGAAGAAGAGTTTTTACTAAGTTAGGATCTAAAATTGGGAGACAGTGAAGAATGTAGTGTGTATAATTGTGTAGGACAGGTTCCTGCAGCAGTCAGTACAAATCTAGTCCTGCGACATGCAGTTATAGAAGTCACATGCATAGTGTTTGTCTAGAATTAGCTACCTCTATACAGTCCAATTTCAGGGGGATGAGTTAGTGTTTGTAAGCCAGTATGTTCTGATGATTTTCCCCAAATGCTGTGCACTGTCCATGCTGATGGGTTTTTTAAAAATCTGTTTCTACACAGGCTATAAGCAACCAGCAGAAAGCTGTAATAGTCAGTGAGCGGATTCTTGGCTTTGATCATCCCAATACCATCCATGAATATGTGAGTAACTTGTGTTTCCCTCCCCCATTTTTTCCATCAATTTTCTCTCTCTTTTTCAACCTGTGCTGGAGAATGCTTATATATTCAGGTGTCCTTGGTAAACTGCCACTCCTTGAGTTGACTTTGACAGTTGTGGAGATCGGACTGGGGTAGACAAGGTCAGAAGTCACACAACATCAGATTATAGTCCAATAGGTTTATTTGAAATCACAAGCTTTCTTAGCACTGCTCCTTTGTCAGGTGAAGTGAAGAGATACACATAGGCACAGAATTTTATAGGCAGACAGATCAAAAGATCATACAGATGGTGTGAGTGGAGTGTCGACTGGCTGAATAATAAGTCTGCAGGTGATCGAAAGTGTCTGACAGTGTGAGTAAAGTGTCTGTACCCATAAAGATGGCTTCAATTGTGATCTTGGATTCATGTTACGTTACACGTAACCCCACCATACTGTTCTGTATTTGTAAAATCTTAATTACTGGCTTGTTTTGACACCATCACTTTGATAACTTATGATCTCTCTACCTTAATTAGTTTGTACAGTTTTGGATTACTTATTACTTTGGTTAAACAATTGGCATGCGACTCTTATACCTATCATGTTATTCCAGCCATTTGGTTTGTCTTCAGCACCAGCTTATTTTAATTTTTTGTAATTATTTCTCTGCCTCAATTAATCAGATTATAGGGCATCCCTTCGCTAAGGTGGGGATTCCACAGGGTGAAACTCCCATTTACAGCAGAATAACAACCAGCAGTTAGAAAATCATTTATTTCTGGGGAAGGTACAAAGTTAATGGCTATCTATAATCATCTTCCTCTGGTAAAGTGGCTGGGAATGGGAATGTATTATGGTTCCATTACCTTCTGCAAAAGATAGATTTATGCGTCTAGATTACCAGCAAATTCACCAATGATGAGTCTATACAAATATTGTCAATGTTCTCAGGGATGTGTTCATGTGATCTTGCTAGAAAATGCCCTAGGAACCTGCAGATAAGATATTCATTCGAACACTAACATCCTATTGACAATATCAGTATCTAGATGTACGATGTTGTTTGTGAGTTCAGCCAATGTAGGAACTCTTACTTAGAGGCAAGAATTGTCAGTCGGTCAAAAAGTGATTACAATGCAAATAACTGTAAAATAGAGAAATTAATATTTTTGGCTTCAATAATTCCATTATTTTGCATGCTGCCAAAGTTCATTATTTTACACTCTATCATTAAGACTTGCGCAATATCCTCACTCCAACCTCACCTCCAGTGTAGCTTCAGATGTTAATTAAGATGAAACTGTAAAGTAATGCTCATTATTGTTGTCTATTGTTTTTAATTCACAGGCCCGCCTAGGTCTCTACTGCTTTGCAAACAACCAGGTTTCAATAGCCCTGAGACTGCTGTATCGCGCTCTCTACTTGATGCTCACTGTCACTGGCGAAGATCACCCGGAAATAGCTGTTCTTGATGTAAGTACGTACATGACGGCTTAGAGTGGAATGAATTGAAAAACGGTTGTCCTTGGGTTGTTTTCGTGTGGGTTATGGGTGGGTCCAAGTTAAAAATCATCAAAGATGGTAGTCACTTGAATTGATTATTTTATCAAACTGGAAATCATTGAGACTTGCATTTAAGTATCACCTTTACTGTAGACAAATTTGTACACTGATGCTTCAGTGAAGTGTAACAGAGTCATCATTTTGGTGTCTGATGGGGAGGGTTGAGGGTTTAGTGGGGTCCAGTCTGTCATTGTAGAAGCTTCACTCCCTGAAACAGCAATGTGTGGTGGACAGTACTTGAAGTGACTCTCACTGTGAAATTAACTTTATTTTCTTCCCTCCATCTTTACCCAACAACCTCCGACAGAGCAACATCGGCCTCATGCTCCATGCTGCACTGGATTGTGACCTTGCAATACGATTTTTGCAGAAAGCTCTGGAATTAAAGCTCAAGTATTACGGGGCCCAGGCTTTGGAGACTGCTCTAAGGTATAGCACAGGATTCCTCCTGTGTCTGATAAACTTAGCTCAGAATTAATTTAAAACTTAACGGGATACAAATTATGTAATAATCTTGCAGATCCCATGCCAGCTCAGAACTTTTTTTTCATTCATTTCAAAGCTGGTAGTTTCTATTGGAAACTAAATGTTTCACGTGAAGCTTTGTTTCTTGAGGACTTGAGTTCAAATCCTGGCTAGACTGATGGGAGTAAGAGGTTCTTGTCTACTAGCTGCAAGGCCCCTGAATAAATTCATTTGACTGTTCAACCCAGTTGGCATCAGGTTGCAGAGCAAAACTCCTAATTGTCAATGCCCCTCACAGTTAAAAGGTCATTCTAAAATTGTCATACTGCTACAACAGCATGTTATTTGAAGTTCCATATAAATATTGAATACATAAACTTTGTAGATGACTTACATTTATATAGCACCTTTCATGATCCCAACCCCATCCCTCCCCCAGCCCACAAAAGTTTTGCTGACGATAAGGTAGTGTTTGAATCATAGCCACTGCCGTAATTGCAGCTTAGAAAAATACTAACAGACAGTACACAAGAAAGTGAAATTTAGGTCATAATCTGATTAGCCATGATCTTATTAACTGGCACAGTGGGCTCAGGGAGTTGATTGGCTTCAGGTTTTAAATTGAATGTATGTATATTTGTGTGAAAGGTCAGCAGGAACCAAAAACCTCCATCTAAACTACTCCTAACCTGTAAATGCTTGATGCTGACACCCTAAAGCATCCATGTACATGATTTATGTAATTGTAAGCAACTTTAGTGCATACCAGGGAGCTCACAAGCTATAAATAAAGTTGAAATTCCAACAGGGCTCACTCCTAGGACTTACCAATCAAGAGAAGTAGTACTCAGGACAACTTTTTGCATATGTCCAAGCACACAAAATTCAAACAAGTCAAACTTGGCCTTAAGATTTAATCACCAAAGCTTGTGAACTGACACAAAGGTAGCCTAAATGACAATGTTCCATTAACATCTCTCTGCTTGAAGTGTAAATTTTATGAACCATGCTTAAAAATGTAATTATATTATTATTTTTTGCCTGGCTAGTGCATTAGTCTGTTACTCGGCAATGTTTCTGATTATGTTTGAAGTTCAGTCATATCAAAAAAAAATGCCTGATTTGGCATTTAAAGATATATTTCATTACAATACATGGCCTTTTATGAATTAATCACAACTAACTCTTTCCACGTCAATCCGGAATGGTTTGCAGGAGCCACTAAAATGTATGTTACAGGAGAATTCCACATTGCAGAAAGTCACTAATGTCTCATATGAAAAATAGATCTCAATTTAAGGACCCGTATGAAGGACATCATGAGCTCAACAACTTTTGTTTTAACTATACAGCTTTCATCTTGTGGCACAAGTTTATGCTAGCAAGGCAGAGTTCCGAAATGCTGTGCAACATGAGAAGGAAGCCTACAACATCTACAGGACTCAGGTAGTTATTCTAAATCTGTTGTCTACTGCTGTGGTAGAGATTAGGCTCTATTAAGGTATATGTGAAATGTGCTGAGTATGTAGCAAGTCCATGTAGTTCCACAGCAAACAATGCTTTCCCTGGTGAATAAAGATCTCTACTGATTTAATCTAGAGCAATTCTTATCTCTGTAACAAAGAAATCAGTTGATCCAGCTACTCTGTTTCTTGTAACTGTGTACAAAGTTACGTGAATAATTTTCCCCTCCCTCAACTTCATCTTTGGCAGAGGAAGGTGCCCTTCATTTGCTTACCCCAGTGGTTTATGTGACAATCTGCAATACAGTCAGTAAAAGGTTATACGTAAAGAATAGTTAATTCCTGGTCCACATAACGATTACCCTTCCAACCAGTTTTATTGTTAGCATAATGGGGTATTTCATACAATGGTACAGCAAGGTAAGTTGCTACTGTGGTAATTGCTTCTCTCACCAAAGAGCATACTAAAAGGGTTTACTGATAGGGTTAGATTCAGAGGAATGGAAGAAGACTCCTGTACAGCATAAATATTGGCATGGACCAGTTGGGCAGAATGGACAATATAAGATTTTGATGTGGGGTGAGTGGATTGAAGATTCCACATTGTACTGTTGCCAGTGCAAAGACCAAATGAAATTTTTATGATATTGGAACAATGGGCATCTCTTTAAGTTAAAGGCCAACTATTAGTAGCCTGTTGATTTTAAAAGCTTTGTTCCCAGTATTAAGTAATTGAATCACCTGTCAGAATGCTCCTTCCACTGACCACAAGTATTCTCCTCCACCATTTACACTCCTGAGAGGAAGAACTGGATAAATATTACTGCTTTGAGCAAAATTCCAGGATATTAACTACTGAGAAGACAACTGTATGGAAATATGGCAGTATTGAACCTGTATTTTTCTGACACTTTGTTTCTAACTCAGCTTGGAGAAACTCATCAGAAGACAAAAGGGAGCTCTGAATTCCTGAAACATGTTACACAGCAGGCAGTGAATCTGCAAAGAACCATGAATGAGATCTACAAAAATGGATCAAATGCCAGTCTGCCTCCAGTACAGGTCTGTGTACCTTATTTAGTTTACCTCCCCTCCCCCCAGTGTCTTTTCTTATGGATCTTGTCAGGTATGAAAAGAACCTGCTCCCAGCTTGGCATGTCTTGTCGATAAGATCTTTGCCAGGAGATGTATTATGTGTCCCTTTCAGAAAACCAAAATGCATTGAATTGAGGGGGTGGGAGGTGGGTGGATGGTGCTGTTTGATTCTCAATAATAGGTCGTGTGGGATTTGATACCAGCTTTACAACAAGTTAATATATTGTCTTTAACATAGTGAAATGTCCAAAGGCACTTCACAGGAGTCCTATTAAATCAAGCAAAATCTTGCACTGAGTCACATAAGGAAATATTGAGGCAGGTTAGAGCAAAAGCTTAGTCCAAAATATAGGTTTTCAGGGAAATGATAAACAAGGAAAAAGTAGAGAAAAGGTATGGCTTGGGTGAGAATTCCAGAGCTTCTGAAAGCACGGGTGCTAATACTGAACATATTAAAATTGGGGATACTCAAGAAGCTTGCAGTGGAGGAATGCAGATATGAGGTTTGAAGGTTTCAGCGATGAGAAAGGGTTGAGGCCATGGGTGGTTGAAGATGATGTGAATTTTAAAATTGAGATGTTATTTAACTAAGGGCCACTTCGGATTAGCAAGCAAAGCAATAATGAGTAAGAACACAGGCAGCTGAGTTTTGAAGCAACCACAAGTTTACAAAGGATTGAAAATAAGTGGCCATCCAAGAGTACATTGGAATAGTAAAGCCTAGAGGTAACAAAAGCTTGAAACAAGAGTTTCAACAACAGATGAGCTTATTTAGGAGTGTATTTGGTCAATATTATAGGAGTAGGAATGGTCTGTCTTTGTGATAGTATAGAGAAAGCATTGTAGTGTAGTTGAGCTGGGTGTTATCTAGAAATGGAAACTGATAA